CACGAAAATTGCGCCGCCAAGTGACTGAGAAAAGAACATCAACGACATACCAATCGGCACGTTTTTCTGTTGCAAGACAGTCTGTGCAGCTAAATTGGGCTATTGCATGCCTGTGCCCAAACCAAGGCCGGACAAAGCTTGGTAACCGATCCATTCCGAATGCCCAGTAAATCTCGTCAAGGTGGTGATCAGACCAGATCCCGTTGACGCCAGTATTGTGGACACGAACATCCACGGGACGTAGTATCTGGTGCGAGTGACGATGGCACTGGCCAGGATAGAACCAGCGACAAGTCCCAAGACCATAGGGATCGAGTTGACCCCAGATTGCACGGCAGTGGTGCCTTTGACGGCCTGAAACCACAGAGCTATACTGTAGAGTATTGAAACCATGCCGCCACCGATACACATAGTGAAGATCATCCCACAGGCAATACTCCGGTACTTGACGATGCGAGGAGGAACTGTAGCATCGTCCTGCCTCCATGTCTGTATAGCAGTGAAACCAATCGTGAGCACACCGGCAAGCCCAAAGAGGGCGATGATACGTGAGTTGTTCCAAGCATATATGGTCCCACCCCATTGCAGTGCAAGGAGAAAGCAGGTGATGCCTGGAAGGAATAGAACGGTGCCAAAAGGGGTTGAGCCGGATAATCTGCCGCCTGATGGGCATAGACTCCTTGGCATGTTTTACATGGAGGAAGAAAAACAGAATTATTAACGTGACCACGGTAATAGGAAGGCTAAAAGATCATAAGTCTGCCTTGACCAATAAGACGCGCATTAAGAGCCAAGGACGTACTTCATGTAGAAACACCATCTCCATGATACTCTGTCCGTAAAGGTTCCTCCCATAACGGGCCCGATGATGGAGGAGATGCCGAAGATTGCACCCATAAAACCGATGAACATGGGACGCTTCGCAAGGGAAATGATATGCATCAGGATGACACTTGAGCCGGAGAAGATGCCGGCGGATCCTATCCCAGCAATAGCGCGTCCCATGATGAATACCGTAGAGTTTGGGGCAGCTCCGCATATCGCATACCCACTTCGAAAATCCGACAACGGCGAGGTAAATAGCCTTGGTGGGATAGAAAGTGTAAATGCGGCCCTATAAAAGCTGTGTTGCGTAAGCCGTTACCAGGTAAGCACTCGCATATCAGCTGATATCGTCCAGGGAGTCGAATTGCTCGGTGATGCGGGGCACAGCTGTTGCAATAATCATTCGGTCCTACAGCGTTCAGCGTGGAACTCTAGGACGGCAGGGGCAAGGAACAACAAACCAATGCAACAAGAAACATAGTAGCGTACAGGGACAGCATAATCACCGCCAGGTTCAGGCCTTTGGGTAATTGCTGCTCAGCTTCACTGCTGAGCTGTTTCCCCTGAACCTTGGGTTCATTGGATACATCAGACAGTGCCATTGTAGAATGCTGAGCAGCTTCCTTTGGTTCGGCGGCAACGTCAGTACTTGTATACGTAGGAGTCTGAGTTGTGGACATTGCGTTGTGAGAGAATAAAGGTGATCATGGATGGAAAGTAGTTCAGGGGGGAAGATCTGGATGCCTGAAAAGATATACTGATGAGTATGCTCTTCTGTTTTTGTGCTTCGGGACCGGGGCTATGAGATTGACAGTTTCGGCCAGCCATGATACGGTGAGGGACACAAAGATCCTCGCTGAGAGGTGGGATTACTCGACTGTCTCCAGATCATATCACCCCGTGCTACGCCCATACGGCTACCTAGCTCTCGTCAGAAAAGACATGACAGGAGACTGGCCCATCATTTCCCGCCAATAGCCATATGCTATTGCTGCCGTCCATGCTGTTGGAATGATTTGAGCATGTACTTGAGGAGCTGGGACCGAGGCCCATGTAAGCAATTGATGTCGCTCTTGGCATGATTTCTGGTGTGGTATCAGCACTGCAATGGAAATGACTTGAATGGCTGGGTATATTGGTGTAACATAGCTGAGTTCTGAGTCAGCTCCATTGATACCTGTTCGGCTAAATGGGCAAGGACCTTCCGCAGGCCTTGAGGCGCGGAAGCGCTTACATACTGTAGCGATCGAGGAATTGTCAAGTATTGCACAACAGTGGGTGTGCTTGCCATGTATTCGAGGGTGCATACGAACATGCAGCGGAACAGTAGATTGTAGGGAAGGGGGGTATGTTTCCACTGCTTGTGCATTTATCCCCCTGTGATCGAGCATTCAGCGTCCGGATACTCCCGGAGTGGCATAAACACGTTTTGACAGCTAGAAGGCCAACAAGATGCTGTGAAACAATCGGCAGCCGTGATCTTGAAAGCCTGGCATCTGTTCCGCACTCCAGTTTTGGCTGTATCATAGGCTCAGGGCAATTTCGCTGCCACGATACGAACGTGGAATTTTCCGGGACCATGTCAGGGCGGCCTGTGCTGATTGCTTTAAACCGAGTCATTGACGGAAAGAGAACCACCACACGGGCGCATCCATCACAAGGTCTTGCCACCTGATGGATTGACAATCGGTAGAGGAAGTAGCTGGTGGGAAACGATTGCGACTCAGTAGCACTCAGTGCTGTCGGGAAGTCTCCGCCGGGGTTGATATAAGCTTTCATAAGTAGTGACCGTCTGCTGCCCACCACTGAGCCCTATATGATTGTGAAGTATTGGCTAGCACTCGCGGAAACTATTCGGCGGCACCAAGTACTGCTAGTACCACGTTAAGCGAGTCCGAAGGGTCCGATAGGGCTGAGCTCGGGGCAGATTTGTGTCTCCGCAGCTTGCATTCTTTCCTATTGCACCTAGGCGATAGGTAGATACCTCTACGTTCTGTTTGAAAACGCATTAAGGAGCAACTCGGCTTGGCTGTTTTTTTGTCAAGACTAAAACTCTTTTCGAGGAAAGGCTGCGAAGTAAGGATTCCGACGGGATGGGCAGTGTGCCGACATGACACGACTCACCTTTCCGCCTGTCATCAGCGGCGAAGCATGACCCAGGTTATGAAACATCTCATTCCCTGACACGAGGAACATGAAGGTATTTATCAGGAGGGACAAAGTTTTGTCTCTAGCCTACCTGGTTGTCAAACCACACCCAGAGCCCGCTTCCTACCTTAGAATCACTGCACCGAGCCCACAATTCAGTCACCCTAATTCTGATTGTCTAGAGTCCAGCAGGCTCCATTCTGTCCATGGTAAGAGAAATCATTGCCCTTGCTGCGAAGCGTCTCTCCGATATCCCAAACATTGGACCCAGGCTCCAGGGTTCAGCACCAGAGTGATGCCTGTCCTACTTACGTTCGTCGTGTATCGAAGTCCATAACCAAAATAGCGGACCATTTGGTTGATCGGTGTGGGAAGCCATGGAGGCTCAGACTAGGCCAGACCTCAATTGACCAAATTCACACGAACCTGGTTTGCGGAGGTAAAGAACTATCACGGCCATCGTCATACTGCTTCTGCATCCTTAGAAACTCTGCAAATATGTCCTGCAGAAGCTTAAGAATAAATGCTCTCGATTGCGATTGGCTCTAATACGAGGTGCAGTAATTGCTGCCCTGGTCGCGATGTGGTCCGGTCCGGTGTTCATGCGGATCATTGTTGCACAGCTGGATACCCGAAAGATCTGTTAGGACTTTGTTCGGACTCTAGAAACTCTTTTCAGCCAGTTACGTACTGCGCAGTCAACTTAGTGAAGTCTATGCAATGCGTCTCGGTATCAGATCGATCTGCTACATGCGACCTCTGCCGGTCTTCGGAGTTTGCAAAAGTGGTTGGTAAGTAAGCTAGGTAGAGTGACCTCAGTTGTAGGCCGACATCCGATCAGCTTCCGCCTACTAGTTAGTGAAACAATTGCCCAACGAAGCTATCTATATACTCATTACCTGTTGACGTATTCGTCTTCTGACCGCCAACCTCACATAACGAGACTCGTCCATGTTCGAAGCTTAATCCCTATTTCTACTTCCTCTCCTTCCTTTCTCCGGTGAGGTGGATCCGACAGCAATACGCACAGAAATCCAGAAGGATGAGATTTCTCTGCCTTCATGGCAAAGGTACCAGTGCTGCGATATTTAGGACCCAAACAGGTAATCACAAGTCTTTTCTACGCTACCTTGGCCCGCGTGAAGTGAGACCTGATGAATTCGCTAAGTTCGGTTCTTGCTACAGCCTCATTCCGCTACAAACTCGACGACTCGATCACTTTCGAATTCGTAGATGGTCTCTTTCCGTCAGACCCTGCCCCAGACGTCCCTTACTTCTACGCACCCCCATACTACGCCTGGTGGGAAGGCAACACCCCCGCTTCCGTGCGCACTTCCCACACCTGGCTCCAATCCAAACTTGCGCGCGACGGTCCCTACGACGGAGTCCTGCTCTTCTCCCAAGGCTGCAGCGTGATAGCCAGCTTCCTCCTCTACCACCAAGCCACCAACCCAACATCACCACCCCCGTTCAAAGTAGCAATCTTCATCTGCGGCGGCATCCCGCTATCGATTCTCGAAGACCTCGGCGCGAAAGTCAGCCAGGAAGCCCACGACTGGGACCAGAAGACGCGGGTCCTCCTCCGCGAGAAAACCACCGATGCCGCCGCCATCCTGAGCCATGGACACGACCGATGGGGAAGTTCCGCCAAGGATGACACGGCTGAGGAGGACCCCGGCGCGAAAATAATGAATAATCCGCAGGACGTCTTTGGCCTCGACACGACGCAGTTCTCCGAGCACTCCAAGATCCGAATCCCGACCGTGCATATCTACGGCTCAAAGGACCCGAGGCGGCCGGCGTCGCTGCAGCTGGCGTGTCTCTGTCGCGCCGAGGTCCGGAAGATATACGATCATGGTGGTGGGCATGATATCCCCAGGCGGAAGGAGGTCTCGGAAGCGATCGCCGGGTTGGTGAGGTGGAGTGTAAAGATGGCTGAGGGCGACGAAGGAATTCGAGCTTGAAGACTGAGGATGGGGTAGTTTGGTGTTGGGGGGTGCTGGTTGTGATTTTATTCTCGCTGGGATTTGCATGGAATCAGGAGTCATGGCCGTGGTGATTAGATGGGGCCGAAGGGCTGAAGTCTTTGAGGGTCTAGGCGCACAATCGGTGTTGGCATCGGTGATGGCATAGGTCTGCAGCACTAGCTCCACCAAAACCTATCCCATCCTTTTTGTCCCCAAGCCTTCTGCCTAACTTTGATTCGCTAGAGATCTCCATCCTTGCGAATGATCGGTGTGAGTTTAGACTGACCATACAGGTTTACTGCTGGCTTCCAAATTCACGAGATATTGATGCCGGAATGCATTGAAAAACCCAAAGGGGATGAGGTTCATTGGTCTTCATGAAGATCATGAAAGACAACAATTGTCAATTTATGCATATCTAAGCTGTCTCGAAGACAATCGAACTGAAGCCTACTATAATAAACACTATACTCACTCCTGGGTCATCCCTTCCAGCCGTCCAAGCCTTTGACATATCGAAACAGAAAACCTCTACCCTACACCCCAATCTCAACAGTCAAATCCCACCTTCATAACACTCAATCACACTACCGATTCGGTTTCACCACACTAGCCGCTACAAGCCTTTCATCTGCGGATTCAACAACGCCTTCCAATCCCCATGATCTCGCTCCATATTATTTAATGCCTGCATCATTGTCATATCCGTTACCCTCAATAGCCTCTCTTGACTTGGCGCATGGTCCCAGGGCCCGGCAACACGTTATACCTTGATCAGCACTCTTGACCCTTGATTAGAGCTGGGACGATATTATTGAGGGTGGTGGCTGCCTCGGCTAGGGGCTAGTTGTGTAGGATCATGCGGAGGGGCTAGATCTGGGCTTGAAAGGGATGCAGTGTGAAGAGTTTGTGGCGTTGGAAGAAGATCTGAGATGAGAGAAGGGGGGAGTCGGGTTAGGTGGAGAGGGAGTTCGGACCGCTCATGGCGTTTTCGGTGAGGTCTTGGGCTATGAAGTCCAAATTTGTGAAGGTGACTGCGAGTGTATGGCGGCAGAGCTGGTGGATCCGCTGGATCTGGGAGGAAGGGACGGTGGGACGGATTTCAGGGACTGTGAAATTAAACCTGGAATTGGGCCGGAGAGCGAAATCGAAAATGAAGAACTTACGTCGACGACTATTCCTCGCCCAAACCGGCTCAATCACACCCCTTCAGAACCTGCTTGATTGCCGTGCCCTTACTGTTGGTCATATTTTTCATGCAGCCTACAATTTGCTTCGTCGTTCCGGGCATGGTGGCTAAATCATCGAAGATTGGAAGAGATCTATCCTTTGCTATGCTGTACCCAGTTTCGTTCTTCGCTACGCTTCAGGACCATCTCTCTGACGCTTCTACAAGCTTAGCAGTAGCAGGAACCGATACCTTCAAATGGCCAATCGTGGAACTTGGATTTGTACTGATCAGGGCGGAGGTTGCCAAGTGTGTAATGCTGTTTCATTCAGGTTCCAGTAGAGGTTGCTGGTCATGGCCGTGCGGGCGATAGTCTTTAATTGTTTTTCAGATACGTTTGCCAAGGTAGCACAGTGTAGAATATGGAACGAATCTAGTAAGGGAGAAGCGGGAGAATATTTTGAAATTGGTCAACCAGTGGAGATAGGTGATGTATTGATAGTATCATGTTCAGAGATTGGCAAAATGGTTTTTAATGGCGAAGTGAAGCAGGACGAAACTTATGCCGATGGTTAGGATGGGCAGGTACTCACCTGGCCCAAGAGCTATTTGAAATGTCCTCAGGGCGGCCTGTGTTAACGGGTGCCCTGCAGTAGCGATGTCGCTTGGTGCAGAGCTAGGAGTGGTAGTTGTAAAGCATCTCTCTGGCTATCTCTGAATCTCGAGGGGTTAGCTTCTCTGCTGTGGCAATCGAGGCTGCCGGAGTTTGACGATTCAACGGTAGTTATGGAGGCCATGATTGTCAAGAAAGAAAGCAAGTTAGGGTGATTTGGTCATGCGTATCGGATAGATTTGATCTAAGTTAGACAAAATACGAATAGCGTGGTCGTTTTCTCGTCTTAGCAGCGACTCGCGTCTTCTCCAGTACAACCAGCACTTGCTATATTCCTGGGCACACGAGATGGTATACGCCAGAGGCACAGAATCTATTGGTCGGAGTCGCTAAAGTTGTTTCGTTGGAGGCTTCGTGTCATGCTCCGGCCAGCTGTCAGAAGTTCTTAGGGGAAGAATTGCACTGAATGCTTGCCCGCTCGGGGATCTCATCGGGTTGCATCACGGTCGCTCCCGTCCGGAGGTCTTGACTAATCAACACGGCAGGCTCCTAGTCCCAGATTTACCTTAATCTTGGCCCGAGCCGGGCTTCGCTCGAGAATAAAGGCTGTGTAAGTGTTGCTCATTACAGAGGTGTCCTTTGTCCAAAGCATGTAAAATCCATGTGGTGAAGAGGAACACAAATCACGTGCTGGTACTAGAACTCCGCTTACAAAACCCGTGGGACAGGGCCTTCCCAACCATCATTGACATATCATTAACGCCCTATCCAGTGCTGTCACAAACAATGCATTTTCTGTCCTTGCAATGAGTCTTGACCTCCGCTTAGCAATGCTTTTCAGTGACTGTTACGCAGTGTGGCTCAAGACAGGCTAAGTCTCTCGCACAGTATCCGTTTACAAAGTATGGAGCTGAAGCAACGGTGCAATTTAAAACGGCACTTCCATGAAGTTTCTACATATACAAGGAAGGGCAAGGAGCCATGTTCGTGGTGCTTGACGAGCAATTGTCGTTCACGTTTCATATCAATTCACTACCAGCAGTTATCTTTGTCCAGTTCGCGCTATGCTACGATAAATCTGAAGCAGCAAGGGAGCTTCGTTAGCGTCCTCGATATCACACCAGCCCTGTTCTGGTTGGTGCAAGGTTGTTTTCGCTGCGTTATGCCCATTGACGTTCATCAAGCCTGGTATGGCGTCCTAGGTATGGCTCTTACTAAGCCAGAACCTCCCATGTTCGCGAAGACTGGATTATGAATGCTGGGGGACTGGCCCAGGACTGAAAAGAGGCTTTCGGAGTCATGATCGATTGGCTCCTTCCGGAAGCCTCTCTGGCCCCAAATGGTCTTTCGCACTTAGTTATTATGGTCTTGTTGTGCTCTCTTTCAGTTGATTGTATCAAAGTGATCTCAATTTGATGGGTGAAAGGTACCAGCTCAACATGGTCCAAATCCTCCAACTATATTTCTTTGAACACCAAACATGTGAGGTATACCCAGCGCTATGAGACCTCTTCCATGCTCAAAACTCACCCAATCTGCATTCTTTCTTTGAACAAGCCTATGAGAAACTTCGAGCCGAAGTCGGTCAACTCCGTGCCAAAGACTGAGGAAGGTATCCTGGATTTGCAAGAATTGCAAACCTTGTGTCCTAACAGCAACGTTAGAGGACCATAACCCAGCTACTGAGAACAGCCTGACATGTATCCATCAACCGGGCCATTTCATCAGGTTCATTAGTTGCTTCAGGAGATTTTCTACTATAGTAATATCCAAGTCCGTCTACACGCGGAAATGGGTTGCTTCTACACTTTGCCATCCGAGACATGCCTACCAGGCCTCCGCACTGATGCTCTCTCGGCGGTGGCTGCGAGTGTACAGAAGCGTTTGCGCGCTCTTCCCAGCTGCTGTTCAAACAGTCCTGGTTATATTTCGTACAGGCCTCTGCGCCTTACGCGCTGGAAGAGGGATCGACCAGTCTCCTGAGACATGGTCAATGGTTGTCTCAAGTCAACCCCGAAAAGGTAGCCGAAGCCTTCAAGGAATTCCCAAGGATCCAGGTGGGTCGTCAATGGCTTTCAATAAAGAGAAGAAACGTTGACTTGCATTAGCAATTTCCTCCAGTCACTTAGCCCTACATTAGCTTGTATGCAATACACGGCTCATCATCAGTGGCCCCTATAGAATTTTGAATGATCCTGGACAATCCGCAACATTTACCGGACTCTAATCGAAGACAATTTCAATCTATGGTCTCCTACTACGCGCTTCACCTCCTTGCGCGGCATGATGTCGTGTCCATCTTGGTATCGACCGATGCACAATTATGGGTACCGTACGTCGCACGAGCATGACGGGGAACTTGATCCTAGCAGGGAATTTCTGATTATGGCTAGCAGCTGCCCTACGCAAATCTTCCTCGAGCCCCGTCGATGACGAAAATTCAGCCGAGGAATGGCTTCCATCTCACAGTCATCTGATGCACCTCGATTCGAGGTCGTTTTGATTATAACGACAGCTACTCAGCGTTGTATTATACACTGAAACATGTCCTACATGCAATTATTAACCCACTCAGCGGTATGCTTATCTCCAGTATTGGCCCCATGAACCCTGTCCAGCCGTTGACTAGTAATGAATTCCAGGTGCGCGGCTAGAAAGCTCGGAGATTGCCATAAAGAGGCTCCTCCCTTCATTGCGACCCGGTATCACATCTTGAAACCACTGGAACAAGAAAAAGTACAAGCGCCACTCCGCATAGCTATTGGAAAGACAATTCTGCAGCCTTCGAAGCGCCATTTTTCAATATTCCTCCCAAAGGAGCCACATGATTGGATCTAGCTCAGCAGATTGCGTTGATGTTGGAGAGATGAGCTCTGTGCTTAGACCTTCGCACCTGCAGTTACTCGTTATTATCGGAGGGATTACCAGGCTCTCCACCTGGGACCAGCAAAGGCGAACGTAGGATTCCGGCCACATCTCTGGCAATTCGATCAGCTCAGCCGACCTCGGGATTTCCAACATTCAAACCACCAATTCAAGCTTCCGAAGGCAGGCTTTGAACACGGTTGGAGTTTTTTCTGAGGCTAATACCATTTCCCACATGGTAGAGCGTGGGCAATTATTGGATGAGATCTGTACTCTTCTCATACACAGCATGCTTGTGGCCAAAGCCTCACAGTCTAGAGCCACTAGTGTTCTGGCTGGCATTGCCTACGA